GATGGGCAAAACCTATGTCCCCGTGTCCGGCAGGCACGACGAGTTCCCCGCATGTCTCCGCGTATCGGCCTCGACAACTCCGAGTATTAATTGTCGCAACATGATTCCAGCTCATGTCACCGAGATGTCGTCGAGCATGCACGCGCGCGTGTGGGCTGCAACCCCGTCACGCCGTGCACGCCACTGGAATGTGCCGTCTAATTGTCAAACCGAGTGAACCCTGCACTGTAAAAAAATTATCGAAATTCGTCAAAATATCTATAAGGTACAGTGAATTCTCAATGGTATGTTATGAAGTCAGCTGCACCACCCTAATATGGAACATTTTCACCATAATATGGAGAATCTTCACTGTACAACATTGGACGGTAGCGGCGTCTCGCTCTGCCAGTGGCCTGCGCAGCCGCGAGGCCGTTAAGTCCGTGGTGTGAGAACCCGATGGGCAGCGCCATTTTTTACGATATTCCCGAACAAATCTTTTACGGCCTCGTGGCGTTATGGCGCCACGTAACGGGCCGATAATTATTGTACCAGGTCGCGAACCGCGCGCGAGCACCCGACACTAGCGCACTCACACACCGGACCGAGCTCGCGGGTGTTTTCCGGGCGAGGGGGAGAAATGGGTCTCAATTCGCCGTGATTTACGACTGATGTGATGAGAGAAAGGCGTGATTCTTGGCGGCTGTATGTGGGGCGCTCACACACACACACACACCCACACGATATACGTACAGGCTCGGTGTTTTCTTTACTCGCCTTCTTCCCTGCCCATTTTTGCGAGTTATTATCCCGCTATATGGCCGATACCCCACTCGCTCGGCTGGCCGCGAGGTTGAGTAGGGGCGGAATCGGGCTGACGCCGACGAGGTAACAGGGCCGCCGCTTGCCGCCGCGCTCGGTTTCGCCTTGAATAATGTGCGCCAGGTGTGGGGTGAGCCTTTTGCGGTAGCCTGTACGGCTCCCAGTCGGACGGGCTCAAATACCTGTTCACTCTGCAAATTCAAATGAAACATTTGGAACAACTTGCACCGCCGGAGCAGGTCTTCCGGCCCACTGTGCGACGGACGCGCCGTCGCCGGGTCGCAGCGGCGCCCACCTCGGTGTCGAGCGAAGCCAGCGAAGCAAGGCCTCGGGCGGAGCAGCTCCAGATAAATCAGGCGGCCCTCGCAGAATCAATAACGGGCGACTTTATGAATTTACGACGTGTGGTGATTGGCCGTGACGGACTACTACTTGCTGTCGCCGCGATGCCGCGACCGACGGCGACCCACTTTCGGACACAGGGATCACCTCCACGGGGTGTCCACGCGGTAAAAACGGTTCCTGGCTTCCCCACACGCTTTGTTAAATTGGGTAGCGCGGGTTCTCGAGGGAACTCCCACGGTGACTTGCACCTGTTTTGCGGACGGGCCCTCCCCTCCCCCGCGAGTCGGAATGCCTGCCTTTGGCCTGCCTGACCCCAAACACAGTCTGCCTAATCATGGCCACTGTTTGTTCTGGACCCCTCGCTAGGGTGCGCCTGCCCACTTCACACCTCATATTATGCCAACCGGACCGTGGCGAGCCGCGCATAACTTCGACACAAGCAGATTGTTTCCGAACCGCTCTGTCTCTACAAAGAACGACGTACGAATCCGAGAGAGACAGTTTCTTGATCAGCCCGGTGGTTCGAGTCGAACCGGAATGGGAGCGAGCCTGGCCGGGGCTAATGCACGGCGCCGCCTATGACCGAGCCGAGCCGAGCGCAAAGCTAAGCGCCAAGCGAACCGCAACAAGATAAAACGATCACTCGGACCAGCGACAAAACGGCGGCAGGGAACCCAGGGAAGCCGGCGATGCCCCGGCGAAGCCAGGGAACCGGTCAGGCCTTCCTGCCCATCCGCCCAGTCCTCGGCCGGGGCTCGGCCGGACTGCCCCGGCCCGGCTTAGCCGCGGCTCAGCGTGCTCGGCGTTGTCTTGTTTTGCCTCGACCTCCGCCGACGGCGCTGCCCTCAGCCTGCAGTGCCCCCACTGCATTGCAATGCACGCGAATTTGTGGTCCCGCCCGGCGTTCAAGTCTCCGGCCGCGACCATCGCCTCGGCCGAACGTAGGACCAACTAGGCCACATTCCTGCGGAAATTGAGTACAAGTTCTGCAGTTATCACACAGAAAAGCACTGCCTTGTCCAGCATCCCGGGTGGAGCAGGGCGGCGCGGCTCACACGTCGCAGTGCGCACGGTAGCCGGCCCACTACTGGAAGGCCTGGAGGCTCCCTTCTCAGCCTCGAGCAAGATGCTAATCGAAGCGCTCCCTAAATCAACCCAAACACTTCTCACCCGTTCTTGCCCTGCGGCGCCGGACCGAGCCGAGGTCGAGCTGGGCCGGGCAGGTCTCAGCGCCGCAGCCAGGGCGGGCCCGTAACTTAAGGATCCCCGGTTTAGGCTAGGCTGCCGCGTTTCGTACAGGACACAAGTCACCAGCAGCAAAAGTGATATGAAATAATAGCAAAGACTGAAACTCGCACTATTGTATTGTATTACCAAAAAAGTTTCGGAAAATTCAGAGTGACTCTGGAGCTCAAAACGCGTCTACAGTTTTGGCCACCTCCACCGGTCTTCTGGCAAATCCACTGTACGAAGCCCCCTCCTTTCCGTTTCATGGTCCGCGGCGCCCTGCGTGATCGATGGCTTAACTTCACCCGAATTGCAATTTTGCGTGGCGCGTCTGACGTGGACGTGCTGCCGGCCCGGTGCACAGCACGCCGTCGTGGCCGTCGAGGCCGCCGTGGCGGACGACTCGAGGTGCGTGTCAGGCGCCCCTCCCCGTCCCTCCTCCCTGGCTACTCTGACCCAGGTCGATCCAAACGCCTGGGGCACGGAGTTAATAAACTGACCGATACGGGGCGAGCCTTCCTTTTCCACATATTATTAAATTAATAGTCGTATCCGGGGCTCCTTGTAGCGCTGGGGCTGCCGCCATGGCTGCCGCCCCTGCGGTGAGCAAGGCGTGCTTGATCGAGGCAGCCGTCTAGGACGCCGTCGGACGCCGTCTCAGCCCGGTCCTTGACCGAAGGCATCGAAGGCATGGCTCGGAGCGATGCTCCTGTACAGCTCGGACGCCCCGGAAGGGTCAGTAAGGCACCGTCGGAAAAAAAGAGAAGGATTCCCTGGCTGGTATTTGAACTCGTGACCCCTGCAATCTATGAGAAGACTCGCTGCAAGGAGGGTTGCCGTTAGTCCCTTGTACTAGACTGATAAGTTCCACAGTTTTACAGTTCCACACTGTCAGAAATTTTAACATCAGGTTTTCTTTATTACATCAGCAGGATCCTTGGCAATGCACAACTCACTGGCACCGCTGGAAAGTCACTTGGTATCAGTCAGCGACTTTTTTTGCTTCTATTTGTTCTAAAACTACACATATAGCGCATGGAACTCTCTGAAGTCCGGCACTGGGTTATGCCTCGCGGAACTGTTTTATTCGACATGCAGATCGGGGACGCTCCGACGGGCCCCGGCGTCCCCTGCGCGAGCGAGACGACAAGAAGAGAGAGACGACGACGACGGGGCAGGCTGGGCACACATCAGTCCGGCACCGCGGTGACACGACTTATGTCGCGTTGCACAACGCGCAGGGTATAGACCTGTCCGTCGCGGGGCGTGGCGTGGCGCGCCAGCCCGTAATGATCTATTTTCGCCATGCCGAGTCAACTGGTAAAGAAATAGTGCGACGTCGCCGTGGGACTGGGCACTGCCCAAGGCACTGCCCAAGGCACTGCCCAACGGGCCAGTCATTCGTGGCTCTGCCTCTCTCGCATCCCGGCGGGACACCCCGTGAGTGCGAGAGAAGCAGACAGCATTCTTCGGAAGCAGGCCGTGTCGCCGCGAAGGCCGGTCCGTGCCTTATGTACCGCGTCCCGATTCGGCAGTAGGGCGGTAAAGCACGTCAAGCGACGCCAAGTGATGCAGGCCGCACGACTGCGTGCTGGTAGAGCACAGGTGCGACAAATTGGACGAGTACGTTCGCTCTTCGCTGCGTGGACGTGCCAATGGCACCGAATGGGCTGTGATTTCACTTCTTTTGCTTTTTCGGCTGACTGTGCGGAGGGCGGCTTTTTACCCCGGATGCATGATGTGCGGCCTGGGACGACGCCGCCGAGGCCGGCAGCGTCGAACAGTCCCGAGGGAGCGCGGCCCTCTCCCGAAGGAGTCCCCGAAGGACCACGAGCGAGCCGATTGGTCCGCTGCAGTGCCGTCCCCACTCCCCCTCCCGCCCCCACCCCGTGGCCAGCCGGCCAGCCGGCCTGACCACCAGACGACGTCTTTATAGACCACACTTGAGGCATGCTCTATGGTTTACATTAGCTAAGGCAGCTGTGAGTCCGAACTGTTGAGGAGATTTCAATTATCTTATATGGGCATCATCGACCAACCACCAGTTGGCTCTAGAAAGGCAGTCAGAAATTAAATGTGCAGTTTGTATGGACGAAATGTAAGATGTTGCTCATGTTGCTTTCTTAAATGTTCATGTGCGTTTGTTGTGCATTCCTTTCAGGCAGCATTCCTTCTGAATATTCACAATCTGACTGACCGACGTGGCTCCTCTTTCTCCAACCACGAGGCGCACGCATTTTTATTCAAGCAATGAACATTGCAATTGCAGCTTTAGCCTTAGCTTTAGTAAAGGTATCATCTCCTAATAAAAGCATCTCTGATGGAACATGATGAAGTAAGTTGTCTTGGATAGCCGCTCGAATTTGCCCCTGACTCCGTCTTTAGTAGGTATCGCACAAGAAACACCGCAAGTCTCCGAGTTCTTTCGTCCCAGATGCATTCCTGGATAAGAGGATCCCCCTGAATTGGGTGGATCTGGATTTGGCAGGGCTGCCTGCGGACTCGAGACTCGGGAGCGGCTCGGGTGCCTCGGGACTTCCCCCACTCCCGGCCGGGGACGCCTGGACTGGCGTGGACTGGCGGGTCGCGGAGAACCCTTCCCCTCCCCCTCAGTCAGTAGCGCTCAGACCGCTGTGCCGTGAGCACAGTCCGTGCGTCGCGCGTCCGTGCCTCTCTTTGTTGTTGTTGTTCGGCTGCGTGACATTTGTGACAAGTGGACCGCGCGTGTTGTGGTGCATCAGTGCAGTGTTGTGTGTGTGTATGTGCAGTGCAGTGCTACGGAGTGAGCCATGTGATCTTGTTGAGGAGGAGGGCGCCTTTTGGATTACCGCCATGCCCCCCTGCGGCGTGGAGTGAACACCATAGTCAAGACGTTTGGACCGCCGTGAGGGTGGCTTTCGGCGCAATGCGCAAGACGCCTGCACTCGCCGCGCTGTGGGTCTTTGCGGCCCTGCTGCAAACGCTACAGGTAGGCAGCGCCTCCACTTTGGGGCAATCCGAGAGCCGCGGAGAGGGAAGCTTTCAAAAAAGAGAATTGTTGGGCACCAGAGTTTGGCCTAAAATCGTCAGTACTGCATCTTCATCAGGGAACCGCCACCATTTAAAAAATGGTGAAATCGAAAAAAAATCGAATTTTTAAGTGAAGCATACACAGTAGTCCTCATCTCAATAATATTAACTCTCTACCAACCAGCGTGCTTAATTTGCAAATACTTTTCAAAAAAGTTCATTTCTCCTTGCACGGATATTTTGTTTTCACAAAGAGGTAGGTCATTCAGAACTGAAGACTTCAAATAATTTCAATTTACCAGCGCGAAAGTGATTTAAATTGATTGGACATAATAAACCGACCGTCAAGAGAGGGGAGGATCCCAATTTAACTCAAACGCGCATTTGTCAACCCTTGCGCCTGTCCCAACGCCTCCATCGCGTCACCCTTACGCCCTCTCTCCTCACGGGCCGAAAGCGTATATAAATTAGCGATCGCATTAGCTCGATATGTCACAGCGCTTGCTTTCCTTTATTTAATGTCTGGCGCGGATGTTTAATTTTGACTACGGGGTTACCTCGCCCCGCCGGCCCGCTTGCTTACGTTTGACGCTCTAAAGCCAATTATATAGACATTCCAACTTGGGAGATCTTAAATCGAGATAATCGGAGCCGCATCGCCTCGCATGCCGGGCCGGCCGGACCAACCCTCCGTCCGCAGTCCGCGCAGTCCGCGCACGGCGGCACTCCGCCGCCTCGCCGCACTTCTCGGTCCCCCTGTATTCAAGGTGACTTAATTAAATAATCGCGCGCACTGCCACACGGCAGAGGTGATGCACTGGTAAAGCGTAGTTGTGCGCTTCATAGAAGCTACACGATTGAGGACGAGCGCAGAGAAGAAATTCTGCCATGCTTGCATTTTGAGTTGCATTTAGATATGCCGAAGAGGGCCGTATTGAGAACCGCGCTCGAAGGAAGGCATCAATGTCCGTTTCGGTTCTTCCAGTGCGCTCTCGGCGGCAGCTCTGTTTCAAATCCACGTGCAATGTGACCCTCGGACGCCTAGCTAGACTGCCCGATCGCTGGAGAAACTGATTCCGACGAAGGAGCTTCCGAGTGTGGCGCGGCGTATTATTTCAAACCCCGCAGTCTATCCGATTCGACAGACAAAAATAGTCGAGGCTGCACCCCGCGGTCACCCTGGGCCGTCGGACGTCCGTCACGCATTTCGGTCGGACGGCAGTCGAAAAGGCACCGCCGACGCTTTGACTTCGGAACTTTGGTACTTTGGTGCGCACATTTCCAATTTGGCGGCGATCGTATCTCGGCCTCGGCCCGGGCTAATGAATCGCGTCAGGATCGGGTCGCTCCGCCCGGCCCGTCTGTCTCCCTCACAGCAGTACGGAACGCCCCACGAGTGCGAGAGAGACGGAGCGACGACTCTCGAAATCAGTCTGCTGGCTGCTGGTCCGGGGCCGCGCGAGCAGCAGCAACGAGCCCGCCTCCTCCATCTCTGTCTCTCCGCCGGACGACCTTCCCCGACCGAGTCACTTCGATTCAGGATGAAAAGCCCGCGGAGCGTTAGCGCCCGTCTGTCTCTCTGTCTGTATATTGTTTGTTCGCGTGTCCCACTGACAGAAAAAAGTACAGAAATTACACGGAACATGTCTGGTCAATTTTTTACCTGGACTGTCCGTACCTTGCCAACCACGGAGGTTCTGTACTTGATTTCTGTACCCGTTTACATGAGATCCTTATGGGGACCACAGAGAACCAGTACAGAAGGTCCGTACCTTTTCCGTACCCGTCTGTACCCCATTTTTCCGTACATTTTCCGTGCCAAACCACGGAATTTTTTGCAGTGCCGTACGTCTGTCTGTGCTACAGTATGTACGTCTGTCTACCTTATGTGGATCTCTGTGCGCAAAGTCTTTACGTCTCTTGGTGTACTACTTTGTGGAAGCGCCTGCATGCTGTGTGTGTGTGTGTGTGTATGTGTGTGTGTGTGTGCTAGAGTGCGTTGTGCCGTGTGGGGTTGGCAGCTCTGCGGCGGCGTGTGTCCCGTCCCCACTGCACCGGCAGACTCATTCCGAGGGAGTGGTCACTCTGTCTCTCTCCCATGAGTGCGAGAGAGACAGGGAGACTCTGGGTGTGAGTCCGCGCTTTTCCGTCATTGCTGCACCCCGCGCCTCTTGATTAGGGTCGATAATTCAGCGCGGTGGCATCGCGGTGCACCACGGCGTCGTCCGGCCGGGTCCGCGAAACACGCCTACCCGTTTGGCAGTAATGTAAGTGATTATTGAAAGATATATTCCGCGGCGGCGCCAGATTTATGGCTTAATCGAGGCTGTTTAAAGTTATGCGGGGACCGACACACGCCGCGGACTCACGCGACGGACACTGCGACCGCGGCGCCGCACTGCTTGAGGGCGACGCACAGTGGCCCAGAAGACCGGTGGAGGCGGCCAAAACTCTAGGTAGTGTTTGATTCAAGTAGCACTCGGAGAAGAGTCTGTTGAAATGGTGCCCCGATTTGCGCCTCACAGTGTGCCGTCGTAGGTCGCACCGGTCGCGGAACTGCAGGGCCGCGAGGGCCAGCCGCTGCAGACTGATTCCGAGTCGGTTTCGTCGCCCTGTCTCTCTCCCGCCTTGAAGGGACGCCCCGTGAGTGCGAGAGAGGGCAGGAGCTGCCGGCCAGCCGCGCCAGACAAACCTCCCCGCCATGATCTATGGCGTTTCCTCGTCGGTGGAATGAATAAACACTGGGGCGTAATACATGCCCGTGGGTAAATTACCCAGAGAGAGCGGCGGCGGGGGCACGGCGGGGCGTGGCGGGGCGGGGCGCGGCGGGGGTCAGGAGGTACTGGCCGGTCGTTGATTAGACGCGGCTGGAGGCTGAGCCCGGCCGAGCTCGGCCCTGCACTGTAAAGCAGGACAGGCAAGGGGTGCTGCTGCAGGAGCGAGGCCAACCCTCCCGCTGCACCGAGGCCGGTCCCGGCGGGCCCCCCGTGGGGCGCGCGTCCAGCGGGGGCTCGGCCGGGTTGGCGCGTCTGGCTGCGCAGAGGGCGCGAGAGAGATAGACCGACGGGAGCGGTGCTGCGGCGGCTGCGGCCGCGCCGACGGCGTGGCGTGGCGGGCGTGGCGTGGCGGGCACGCGGCCACCCAAGGCGCCGCGGGGCACGCCGGGGTGCATGCCTTATTTTGACGCGTGCTTCGGCGTGCCACGATCTGACTAAATGCCGAGCACTCACACACACACACACGTGCATCACACCGGGAGCATTATAGTCAGTCAAGTGAATGGCGTGCCTCCCATCGCCTTGGCGAAAGCCGCACTTGTGGTCCAGCTCCCAATAGCAATAGGACAGTACACTGCAGGAAATAACCACAACAAAAGTACACAAATTTCTGGCAAATTTTTTATCAGGTTTTTATTGTACTTTTAAAGTACAACAATTGTTGTACAAAGTACAATGGAACCGGCATGACGAGTGCTGGGCAGTCCCGGCCTCGTTGTGGTTTGTACAATTCTCGTTGTACTTTCTACAATCCCTGTTGTACTTTCATTGTACAGTTTTTGTTGTACATTTGTTGTACTATTCACACTTTTTCTTGCAGTGTACATAACACACTCTGGCACGCACGCACGATATGGGGTCGCAGTTTTCAAAGTCGGTTGCGACGATTGCGTCCTTTCGTCCTCCAGCACTATGACGCACTGCCGCGGTATGGAGGAATGCCAATTGTTTTTGTCATTGTCAACGTGTTTTTTTTTCTCCTTCGATGAAAGTGAATGAAGGAATGAATTGCGATTGTGTGTTTTGTGCGTATCGGTTGGGGCAGGTCTATCTATCGACAGCGCGGCCACACACACACACACACACACACAGAGGCACACATATTGACGCGTATCGTAAATCAGAGCGTGAATGACAGCAGACAAGCGCGCTGCGCCAGGGCACAGCCAGGGCACAGCCAGGGCACGCCACGGCCCCTATGTACCTTGGACGCAGTACCACGAACAGGAGGCACGCGGCGCGCGAGGGGGCGGGGCGGCGGAGGGGTTAGACATTTGATGTCGACCGTTGGTCGGAATACGGGAATACGTACAGCATGACTTATTGAAAATCCCGCCCCATGTCAGAATGAGAGCAAGCGAAGGCGAGGGCCTGCCTGGGCCTGGGCCGGCCGAGGCTGGGTGAGTGTTGCAATGATGCGGATGGACTCTGCCTCGGCTTGGGCGGCGCGGAGCGGAGCGCACTCTCGAAACCTTACAAACTGTTCCAGGCCCCAAGCGTACTGGTGCACCACTGTTCTGCGCCGCGGGTTTTCGAGTGGAGACGGGAAGCGGGATGCGTCACCGAGCCAGTGTCGTGCACCGCAGTGCAAGGCGGCGTACTTGCGAGGCACCGCATGGGCACCGCACCGCGAGGCCCTCGCTGCTTTTACGGCCAGGGAATTAAATTGTTCGATCTTGACGCTCCGCGGCTCCGCTCCGTAACGACTCGGCGAGGCGCGCGGCTGTTGCCTTGGCTGTTGCCGGGATGGCTGGGATGCGAACACTGCAGCGGACTTAGGGAACTGTACCGGGCTGCGCCGTGTCGCCGAGAGAGAACGGCGAGAAACACAAAGGAGTGCTTGCAGCCGATTAAAATCCGAACAAAACGTCCTGTGCATTAATGTATTACGCAACATACTTTGTCCTAAATTTGCCAAAAGGTAGCTGTCTTAGGGGCGATTAGAGACGTTCAAGTGTTTTCTCCATGTTGCATTTCAGCCAAACCGTGCACCCTTGAACGCAGAACCTGGTTGGTCGCGCATATCGGTCGCAGCACGTTCCGTTCCGTATGTAAAGTCTGGTCCGGTCCGCCCCCCGCCACGCCGGCCTGTTCCCGGTCCTCTAAACCGTGACGTGGGAACGGCGGCGACCCGCGACTCAATCCCTGGCCTAGCCGTCTCGTCGCGGTGCTGGAATGGAAC